GAGAAGCTCCATGGTCTTCTTATTCCAATTTGAGTGCAGTTATGGATAACTTCCGTGAGAGGGCGGTTGACTGCCTGTTGGTACTGTTGTCACAACAGCTGAACACGCACGTGTGTTTGTGTTGGGTTTCTGAGCTTTTGCCTTAAGTTGACGCGTCTTCTTACACCAGCTCTAGAAGACAGCTTACCCTGCAAAAAAAGAAACCAAACCAGCAGCACGAGTCTCCCTTAGCCAGGAGGCCCACTGCATAGAGCCTGGGATCCTGGGGTTCTGATCCATGCTGCCACTTGGCCTTGGCCAAGTCCCTTCCCCTCTCCAGGCTGCAGCTGCCTCATCTGTCAGGTGAAGGGGGCTGAACTAGATAACCTTTAGGCTTCTTCTAGATCTGATGCTCCAGCCAGGGCATGCGTTGCCAAGAAACCCTGGGAGAAAGAAGGGAATTTGCTCTCGTTTTCTCCCTTTGATTTTTGAAGTAACCTCAGTTGAACTTTGTTAAAAGAGGTGTGGGGGCTATCACCACACTGCCTCTTCTACATTCTGGTTTCTCTGGGTAGCAGGAGACAGATGCTGGGCTTTTTGCCTGCCTGGTGTGTTTACCCAAGAAGGGCAGAGGGGGCAGCTGATCCATACTGGGCTGAAATGTTAGTGGCACGTTCTTTTCACATTAACTTTATCGTGTAGAATGTGAAGCCCCAGGTGGGGTTGAGCTCAAAACCAAATGAAGAGCAGGGCAGATGAAGGCAGAAGTGAATGGACAGAAACGAGCTTACAGGGTCTGGTATTTGATAGAAATGATCGGGGACTAAACTAAAGTAAAGCAAGATGGAATGGACTCTCCTAATTTCCTTAGTCCTTGAATAAGATTAATGTCCCAGGTCCCTCATTTCTCCAAATTCTAGACGCCTGGGCAGCGGGGCTGGAACTAGGGTGAGGCAGGTGAGGCACCTACATGACACTGAGAGTGAGCGCCAACTGGAAGGTTACACCCTGAGCACCTCACTGTCCTCACCCCAGGCCTGGCTGCGCTGGGCAGTGTAAACATTGTCTTTCATATCGGTCTTAACTTGAAAAGTAGATTAAGAAGCTACAAACCCAGCTGAAGTTTGCAGCCATTTGAACTGTTCTCCTTTGTTAGCAGCACGCAGCTGAGCAGGAAACTAACAATGAGGAATTCACATTTGGTGAGAAGCAAAATATGAAAGCCCACTTGCTGATTTCCTAATGGACAAGGTTATTTTCCTAAACAGAGATCCTTAGGTTGCCAGAGGAACCGTTTGCAGGATCCCAAAGCATTTAGGATCAGAATCCTCTGTCACCGTCAGCCTAGCCCACCGATCTGTAGCAGGATGTGAAATTCTCTGCTGGTGGTTTTAGCTTCAATCCACTGAAGCCACGATCCAAGGACTGAGAGAGGGATCAAGGGCCATGTGTTGCTGATTGGGCCCTATCTTTTGGAGAGACCCTGTGCTTACTCAGAACAGCCCGGGCTCTAATCTTTCTAGCCCCCTAGTCTGGGCAGAACGGCCAACCAGCCAAGAAGGGGTCTGCCTTACCTCCTTCAAGTCCCCGAGGCATCCCTTGCCCTGCTGCCTTGGGAACACTGTCAGTTTTTCACCCACAGGTTCCCTCTCCTTCCTGTTATAGGAATCAGCGAAATCGTCGCAATGAGTGAATGTGTTACAAAGGTGGAAAATGCACATCTGAGCTGAAACCAGGACAACCAAAATGAACAAAATTAAAAGCTCAAAGGGACTAGCTGACCTAGAAATTACTCCTCCCTGTGCTTCCCCCACACCCTTCTCCTTTCTCCCTTAGACCCAAGGCCAAGAAGAAGGGCTTGGGCCTGATAAAATACTTTGCTTTTACCTCCCTGCCTTCTGCGGATACTTAGAGGAAAACCCTGAGACCCTTACATGCTGGGTTCTCTGCTGGGATCCTCCCAAGGGCTGCATCCACAGCTGGGAAATGGAGAGGATGCCCTGAGGCTATTTACATAAAGGATGCATGGTATTTGCACATAATTTCCCTGTGTACACTGTGCCACTCCTCCCCAGACCATTTTTTCAAGTTGAAAGCATTTTTATGGCTCTCTTGATGGCAATCACTTCTGGATTTTTCCTGTCTGTGCCGTCTTCTCCCTCAAGCCCTCTCCCTGGCCCAGATCTCTGGCAGGGGAGCCAAATGGTGCCAAGGAAGGACCAGAGAGGAATGCAGGACTGGCCTCTCCAGAGATGACCACTCCAAGGGCTCGGCTGCCTATTTCACTTTTTCTCTGGGCACTGTCTGAGGTTATCTTTTCCAAAACTGTAACACTATGTGATTACATTGTAGACCAACTCACTTAATTCACAGAAAGTCTCTTTGATCTAGAATTTTCTCTGAACTACTCTCTTTCCCTTTCTCGTCTGCCTCATGCCACTAGGAGGCTGGTTACTGCTTCTTTTTAAATTGAGCCTTCATTCACTTATTGCATCTTCACAATAGCCAGTGAAGGCAGGGCTATGTTATGGACAGGAAACTGAGACTTGATACTAAGGGCTTAGTCCAAAGTTACACGACTGGTTAAGATCTATTTTTTTTTTTGCTGAGGAAGATTTGCCCTGAGCTAACATCTATGCCAATCTTCCTCTATTTTACAAGCAGGTTGCCACCACAGCATGGCTGCCAGCAAGTAGTGTAGGTCTGCACCCGGGAACCGGACCCGGGCCGCCAGAATGGAGCATGCCAAGCTTAACCACTAGGCCATGGGGCCGATCCCTGGTTAAGGTCTTGATTTGTCCAATTCAAAGTCCAGTGCTTTTCCTCTGCCTCAGTTTCTTCAACTGTAAAATGGGAGTATAAATAGCACATATATCACAGGGTTGCTGTAAGGGATGAATGTGTTAATATGTGTAAAAGTGTTTAAAATAGGGCTTGGCACATAGACAGTGTTCAATAATGTCGCTCATGTTATTGTGCTGTGCCTTGCTTTTCTTTATTATTCCAAGTATGGGAAGCATGACTCATTTGTGGGAGGAGGAACCAAGTTATAGGCTTGGGGAGTGTTATCTAAGATGGAGAATGAACCCGTTTCCCAGGCTTAGAGTAGGCTGAGGTAGGACCAGAACAGATCCTTTCAAGCAACAGGCCTGAGCTGCCCAACTGAGGCATGTCCCTGCCTAGCTCTGGCTGGGAAGAAGAAACCCTCAGACATTGATAAATCCATAAAGGAGTTGGTGCCCCCTTAACAAAATGCCAAGGGCAGGAAGAACAAAGGCTCCTGAACAGAGCCCAAGATTATGAGGCAACATTTTACTCTGTGATGTTCTGAAGGCCTTCTATTTTGAGGCAGTTCTAGATTCTTCATGACTTGTATTTTACCTTTACCCAGTAATTACAAGGTAGGACTCGTGTGTGGTGAAAGGACTATCAAGGAGGTCACCAGTTCCCTTCCAAAGGTATGTCCAAAAGCCTTCTAGTGGTTAGGGCCAGGGGCTGGAGGGAGGGCTCTGAACACTGCCAGGGGGCCCTGGCGCTTGGGAGAGGCTGCCCATGACTTGCCCCGCAGCTCAAGCCCTCCTCAGCAGCAGTCAATATAAAGGACAGAGATGTGTTCCTGCCATTCTGGGGACCTTGGAGAAAACCAAAGCAGTTGGGCGTAGGTTCCTTTAGCACCAGGTCTGTTGGCTATTGCTGAAAAGAGCGCAATAAAAAAAGCAAAATATAATCAGGAAAGAGTTGGACTCTATAAAATGGCTTTACAAACCTAATCAAGGGAACTAGACACCCCAAACTGTACTTTGAACCTTGCTGAAAAATTGTTGAAGTCATGTTGTAGCAGTTGAAATTTTTGCTGATCAGTCCACCTTCTCAGAAAAAAACACCAGACCCACAAATAAAATAAAAGGTTTAAAACATAAATGTCTGTAATTAAATTTTGGAATGACGTCTTCTGCCTGTCCAAGCTTCCCACTGTTTGGTGTGTGTTTTCATCAAGAGGAGCCCCTCGTTCTGCCTGGCCCCATTGGCGTTGACTTCCTTTCCAAAGTTTCCAAAAGGTGCAATCAGAGGTTGAATGTGTTGATTTTATCTTGGGTTGACGGGCTCCGAACTTCAGGGTTACATGAGCTGTCCAAGATATGAGATAGCATGTAGATAGCGCTTTGAAATGAGCTACGTGAGAGGGATGGCGACATCTTCCCAGCGGGTCAACAGCATTGACTAATCTACCTGACTCCTGGGAGACGGGATGGGCAGAGCACTTGGGGTTGAGGCGCTGGGGGCGTGCAAGATGTTCACGCCGCCTAGTTCTCTGCTCCGAAACCCAGCGGAAAGGCTGCGGCTGAGGGGCTTTGCGGCGCCCCTCTGCGGGCTTTCTGGCCATTGGCTTTTGCAGATGTTGAGAGGTGGGGCTGGAGAAGGCTTCCTCCCGCGGGGAACTTGGTGCCGCTCAATGTTGGGGACAACGGTGAGCGAACTCCCGGCCCGGGCCTCGCGGGCCGCGCAGGAGGCGGCTCCCGCGCGGTAATCTGAGCCAGGACGAGCGGCCCGGCCGGCGGCGCGACCGCGTCCCCTCCCGCTCCGCCCCC